ATATATTTGTATATAAAAAGAGAAGCTTTTATTAAGGAAATGACTTACAATTGTAGAGACCCAGGTCACCAGCAGAAGAGTGGAAACTTTATATTTAAAAATTTTAAGATAGATTAGAGTCCTGGTGTGTGCTGCCTGATAAGCACCAGACAGCTAACAGCAAGGCCTGTGATTCAAAGCCACCAGCCACTCCTTGCCAACCCTGCACAGGGTCACTATGAGTCAGAACCAACATGAAGGCTCTTAAAAAAAAAAAAAAAGTGGTGGATATGTGCTGTGGAATTGGTTCTGACTCATAGTGACCCTGTGTAGGGTTTCTGAGGCTGTGAATCTTTATGAAAGCAGAAAGCCTCATCTTTCTTCCGCAGAACCACTGGTAGTTTCGAACTGCTGACTGTGAGATTAGCAACCCGACTCATAACCCTTCTGTATTTGTTTTTCTATTTCTGTATACTTAAAACTTAATTAACATTGAGGGACTAAAGAACAAAATTACAAGAGAGAATAAATTGATCATTTTAAATTTATAATTTAAATTACCCAGGAATCAAATAATGTCCTACATGAAGATTTGCAAATGATGCAATTCAAAGAAATGTGCCGTGATGTGAGGATTGCAGCCACTTATATTAATAGATAGTATATACACAGAGTCACTGTCCCAAAAAGAATTGATCGATATTCAACCATTTCAAGAGGTATAGTATATGATCAAGAGCCAGTGATCCTGAAGGAAGAAATCCAAGGTGCATTGAAGGCATTGGTAAAGTACAAGGCTCAATGAGTTGGTGGAATGCGAACTGAAATCTTTCAATAAACTGATGTAGCACTGGAGTCACTCACTCATCTATGCCAAGAAATCTGGAAAACAACTACCTGGCCAACTGACTAGAAGAGGTCCACATTTGTGCCTGTTCAAAAGAGAGCTGACCCAACAAATGCAGAAATCATCAGATAATATCAATATTGCATGCAAATAAAATGTTGTAAAAGATAATCCTAAAACAACTGCAACAGTACATTGACAGAGAACTGTCAGAAGTTCAAGCTCAATCAGAAGCAGTTATCTAACAAGGGGTATCATTGCTGACGTCAGATGGATCTTGACTGAAAGATGGTTTACCTGTGCTTTATTGGCTATGCAGAGGCTTTTGATTGTGTGGATCATGACTAGCTATGGACAACATTGTGACGTATGAATATTCTAGAACACTTAATTGTGCTCGTGAGGCCCCAGAACCAGTGTTCTGTTTGGGACTAGCAGGACCCTGGGCAGGACAGAAAGCTGCAGGGGCAGATTCACTTTACTGCACACCGCCTGGCCTGGCACTACTTCAGCATTGTCTGAAGTTGAGTGCCATTCAGCAACCTTGGACCCAGACCCAGACCCAGACTCTATAGCTGTCCCTGCTTTAACTCGGCTGGTGCTCAGGCTCCTTGTCATGAAGTCCTAGCCTGACAACAAGCTTCCAGGGAAGGTAGGGCATGAGAAGGATGAGATCAAGGCTGTGTGCCCAGGACCAGGCAGTGTTTCGTTCTATTGTGCACAGAGTCACTATGAGTCAGTACTGACTCGATGACACCTAACAACAACAACAACATTGCCAGCCAGTGACCTCCAAGGGGTGAGGGGTAGTCCAGGCTGTCTATGCTGCTGGCAGCATACAGTGGTTGTAATAAAAAGTAATGCTCAACATTGGTGAAGAATATACCATGGAGTGTCAGAACAACAAACAAATGTGTCATGGAAACAGTATAGCAAGAATGTTCCTTAGAAAGGAAGATGGTGAAACTTAATCTCATGTACTTTGGATGTTACGTACTTTGGATATATCTCCAAAGTTATTAGGAGGGACCAGCCCCTTGAGAAGGACATCCTAGTTGGTACAGGAGAAGGTCAGCTGTGGAAAAAAAGAAAGACCCTCAATGAAATGTATTGACCCAGTGACTGCAGCAGCAGGCTTTAACATAGCAAAACTGGTGAGGATGGCGAGGACTGAGTGTGTTTTATTGTCCTGTACGTAGGGTTGCTGTGAGGTGGCACCTGACACAATGACAGCATGACCAAGAAATCAGGAAATAAGCGATTTTTAAACTAGTACTGATTCCTGTAATAAGCTAGAGAATGAATTGCCACACCACCTGTGTCACCAACATTTTTAAGAGCAGTGCTGTAAGATTAATCACAAAGCTGTGGGCTGCCTTGTTCTCACTTGTTTCACCCTCCCCATTTTAGTTTCGGTTTTATTCTCAATTTTACTGTTGTTGTGACACTGTAATCCCTGGATTGCTAACCAAGAGGTTTGTGGTTCAAACCCATTAGCCACACTCCTCAGAAACCCTGTACAGAATCATGATGAGTTGGAAGTGACTCAGTGACACTAACAACAACAACAGAGTGTAGAGGAGCGCTGGTTGCATAGTGATGAAAGCACTTGACTGCTATCTGGAAGGTAGATCCTTGGAGCCCAGCAGTTGCTCTGTGGAAGAAAGACTTGGAAACCCTGTGAGGCTGTTCTGGTCTGTCCCATAGAGTAGCTATGAGTCAGAATTGACTTGATAGCAGTAGTCTAGGTTTTTGGTTTTGACATAGCTTCTTTTTTTTTTTTTCTTACATGTTTTATTGTGAATTATGTGATAGTTTACATGGGAGAATATTAGTTTTGCATTCATCCTATCGTATATCATCTCGTTGCCATGGTTACAATCCCCTCCATGCAATCCTTCCCCCGTGCCCCCTAGGTCTTCAGCACACAGTCGCTCTCCCTCTCTGGATCTAAAGTCTCCAGCTGCTCCATCGCTCCATGTCATCATCTCTGCCTCCATTTCAGGCACCACTGCTTCTCTGGGTAGGGTCCCGCTCTCTCCTCTCCTCCCTTGATGGTCCTAGGGACCTCCGCTCCTAAACTGAAAAGTTAATCACTCCCCTCCTTGCTTTAAAACGTCTACCTTTACATTTCCGACCCTCACAATTAGTCTTGATAACAGTTATTCACTATTGTATCACACGAGATGCGTCTTCATTTCATTGCATCAGCCCCGCCTAGACAGATTGAATACTACTCACTGGAGATTCTACCTTCCTCCAGGCCCTCTGGATCTAGGTTCCCTCTTGAAAGCTTGTAAGCCAGTCACTTCTTGCCTTTGTAGTCCCCTGCCCCTCATTTTGGGTAGCCAATGTCCAAGTTGCCCATCCCTGTCTATTCTGTGTGTGGAGGGGGTGGGTATGATTCTTGCTTGACATAGCTTCTTAATTTAAAAAAAAAAAAAAATCAGGTTTGCATTCCCTTTTTTGTAGATTTTCTCACTGTTTACCTCTACTTTGTTTTTTTATAGTTGCTTTGTATCCATTCTGTTCCTTTTTTCCTATCTACTTTTCTAGCATTTGATATTCTCATGTTATTCTGTTGCTTAGTACCATTCAGTTGGTTCTGACTCATAGTGACCTCATATTAGGGTTCTGAGGAGCAACTGGAGTGTTTTAACCGCTGGTCTTGAGGTTAGCAGTCCAGTGCTTATCTTACAGCTAGACAACCAGGACTCCTATATTCTCGTAACCATTAAAAATTTTACTGAGGAAGAAATGAGCAATCAGCAAGGTAGTTACCGTGATTGAAGTGGAATGAATAGAGAGTACAAGATCACTATTGTATTAAAACCAAACTCACTGCCATTGGATCACTTCCAACTCAGCAACCTAGAGGACAGAGTAGAATAGCTCATTAGGGTTTCTAAAACGAAATCTTTATGGGGAGCAGACAGCCTCATCTGTATCCTACAGAGGATTTGAACTACTGACCTTTCAATTAACAGTCAAATGCTTTACCCACAGTGCCAGTAGGGCTCCTTATGTCCCACATGGTGAATGTATTGCATAATTACTCACTATAACTATTGCATGGAAAGAAACAAGTGTGATGCTTGCATAGACAAATGTCAAGGAAGAAAGTTACTAAGTACTATTGAGTCAGTTCCAACTCATCGTGACCCTGTGTAGGGTTTCTAAGGTAGTAAATCTTTAGGGAGCAGAAAGTTTAATCTTTCTCATGCAGAGCAGCTGATGGCCTCAAACTGCTAACCTTGTGGTTTGCAGTCCATTGCTTATCCTATAGAGCCACCACACTCCCAGGAAGAAAGTAGATAGTGATATTAGTGGTACTTTTGTGGTTGTTAAATGTCATCGAGTTGGTTCCTACTCATAGCAACCCTTTATACAGTTTCCAAGGAGTGGTTGCTGGGTTTGAACCTCCATCCTTGAAGCAACTAGCAGTCCAGTGCTTATCCTATGTCACACCAGGACTCCCAATAGAGAGTGGTAGCTTAGTGGGTTTTTAGCTGGGCTGCTAATCTCAAGGTAAGTAGTTCACATATACCTGTCGCTCTGCAGGAGAAAGATGAAGCTTTCTGCTCCTGTAAAGATTTATAGCCTCAGAAACCCTATGCAGGGTCACTGAGTTGGAACTAACTCAGTGGTACACCGTCACCACCACCACCAGTTATTTAATAATGTTTTTGTAAATATATGTGTTTCCTTGTTGGGAATGCTCAAATAAGTTTAGGGCCAAGATTTTGAAGTGAACAGAATGTTTGTGATAAAAGTGTGAAATTAATGCAGCAGTTTTCTTCACTAAGGGACAGCCTTGATTCAGAGATGCTGATTACACAGACTTATGTTCTCTCTAGTGCTCAATTATACGTGCTAATGAGCCATCTAAGAATAGTTTTCAGAAAGAGCAGGGAGCATGAGATTGAACACAGAAATTGATAATTTATTTTACACTGTGTCATCAACTTTAAATTGGGAGTCTTTATATAGTTATGTAACTTATTGTGGGGTAGATCTGAAACTTTTTTTAACATACAGCTTTTAATTTCCTGTGTAAATATTTAAACATGAACTAATGATAGCTCTTATTCTGATACATAGTACTTAGAAAAGCTTCACTTTTTCTTTTTCACATTTGGTTTCCTTGCTTTGCTCTTCTCTCCCCTGGTAACAGAGAAGACAGAGAAGCACGATTTCTAGCCAGTAAAATGGGCATCATAGCAACATTCCGCTCCTGGGCAGGTATGTTACTCTGCATTGCTTTTATTACTAAGACAAAGGTCAACTTTTAGAGCAAATGTTTATTATTACAGCATTTAATTCATATGGTAATTTACTCATAATTTTTATCTTGTTGTTACAGCCATAGGGATTCATACAAAAATTATTAAAATATGGTGAAGAAAATTGGTAAATAGCTACTCTTCTTTGTATTTCATATACATATGAGAGGGTTTCAGAAAGCTTGTAGAAAAATACTGACTATGGAATCGGTTCTGACTTCAGCGGCCATGTGACTACCAGAACAAAACACTGCTCTGCCCAGTCCTGTGCCATCCTCACAATTGCTATGCTTGAGACCATTGCTGCTGCCATTGTGCCAGTCCATTTCGTGTGGATCTTCCTCTTCTCACTGACCCTCCACTTTACCAAGCATGATGTCCTTCTCCAGGGACTGGTCCCTCCTGATAACGTGTCCGAAGTCTGAGAGACAAAGTCTCACTGTCCTGGCTTTTAAGGAACATTCTGGATAGACTGCTTCTAAGATAGATTTGTTTGTTTTTCTGGCAGTTCATATTAATATTCTTCTGCACCACCTTAACTCAAGCTTCAGTTCTTCTCCGGTCTTTCTTATTCCCTGTCCAAGTTTCACATACTATTGAAAATATCATGATTTGGGGTCAGGCTTTGCTCTTGAATGCTTTAAAGACCTCCTGTGCAACGGATTTCCCTAATGCAACATCATTTGATTTCTTGACTGCTGATTATTACCTTTCACTCTGTAATTCAAGATAGGTCTTGAAATGTTCTTTTTGATGATAAATATGATGTCATTTTTCTTGAATTTGTCATTCCTTCATGGAATTCCTTCAGATTCAAGATGGTCAGTACCAGTCTATTTCAGCTCATTAATGCCTAGGATACCCATCTTCATGCGCTGCATTTCTTTTGTGACAACTTTCAATTTTCCTAGATTCATACTTCGTATATAATCCATGTTGTGATTATTAATCGATGTTTGCAGCTCTTTCTCCTAATTGTGCCCCATTAGCAAATGAAGGTCCCAAAAGCCTTACTCCATTTACGTCATCATAGTTAACTTTAATTTGAGGAGGCTGCTTTGCCCAGTTATATTTTGAGTGCCTTCCAAACTGAGGGGTTCATCTTTCGGCAGTTTATCTGACTATATTCTGGTGCTCTTCATAATATTTTCATCTTTCAGCACTATGTCTGACAATGTTCCACTGCTATTCAGAAGGTTTTCTGTGGCTGAACATTCAGATGTAGTATGTCTTTGCTTTATCTTATTCTTAGTATGGGGGCTCTGCTGAAACCTCTCTAGCCTGGGTGACCCTGCTGGTATTTAAAACACTGGTAGCATAGCTTTCAGAATCACAGCAATGCGCGAGCCACCACATTATGACACTCTAACACATGAGTGGTTTGCCATTAAAGTGGTTTTTAACCTACCCAAATAAATTATATCTTGCTTTATTGTTAAATGCTGTCAAGTTAGTTGTGACTCACAGCCACCCTGTATAGGGTTTTCAAGAAGCAGCTAGCGCATTCTAGTAATGCTGTCCAGTGCATTATCCTGCAGCGCCATACCAGAGTATCACTTTCACCATCAGAATATCACTTCATTCTACTTCCTGTGTCTACTCACTGCCAGCCTTCTTCCTTACTGTTCTTAAACATTTTTCTACTGGAATTTTATTTTTGATGCCCTTAATTACTGGTCTTTCATTAGAAAACTGTTAAGATTGAGAGTCGTCCACCCTTCTACTGATGTAAGAGAAATAATAAAATTACAAACTAGAATTCTGAAGACAGCATTTCACCACAGAAATAATTTCCTAAGTAGTAGTTAAGTTCTCTGATGCTATTTATAGGTTAAGTAGTTTATTCTGTATCTGCTTGTCTGTCTGCTCAGCTTGCTATGCATTTTTTAGTCCATTATATGTTATTTTAATGCATTTCCAAGTATGTTGCAAGCATCACTACCCATCACTGGTAAACTTCTCAGCATGTGCATTAACTAGAGTTTAATACTTAGGTTCTTTTATTTTTTTTAGTTGTGCATTTACATAGTGAAATGCACAACTCCTGAGTGTATCATTTGACAGTTGTTAATATGTGTGTAACCTAAAGGACTGCCAAGATGCAGAACATTGACATCATCTCCGAAAGTCCCATGAGGCCCCTTTCCAGTTAACACATGATCCTTAGGAGCATCTGCTATTCTGATATTTCTTTTTTAAATCACTTAATATAAGTGGAATTGTTCTGTGTGTACACTTTTATGTAAGACTTTTTTTTAATTAGCATAGTTTTGAGCTTCATTCTTGCTGTTATATACATATGTCAGTAATGCGTTACTTTTTATTGTTGAGTAGTATTCCATTAGGTGACCGTATCACAGTTGTTTAGTACTCCTCCTCTTCGTTACCTGGAGCCCTTTCCAGTTTTGGTATTCTAAATAAACGCTACTATGAGCAGCCTTGTATAAGCCTTTTTGAGGACTTGCACTTTAATTTCTTTTCAGTACACTGTTATTAAGTGCTCTTGAGTTGGTACTGACTCATAGCAACCCAAAACTAACTGTGCCCGACTTTTTTCCCATAGTACTTACACTATTTATGCTCCCATCAGCAGTGCATGTGAGTTCCAGCTTCTCTACTTCCTCCCTAGCATTTAATGCTCTCAATGTCTAATTTTAACCATTGCTGTGAGTGTGTAGTCATGCCTCATTGTGAATGTTATTTGTATTTCCCTGATGAATAAATGATATTGAGTCCTTTATATGTGCTAATTGCTCTTCAGGAGTCATGGTGTGGCACTGTAGGATAATTGCAGGACTGCAAGGGTCGGTTTGAACCACACTCTCAGTGGTTCAAACTCACCAATCCTCAGAAACCCTAAACTTGGTGCCTGTGAGTCAAAACCAACTCAACAGCACTTAACAACAACAGTACTGCTTTTAAATTTCTTCCATTGTGACATAATTTTCATATATTCAAAATACTTGATTCAGTTCTCGAACTTAAAAACTTGATATATATATATATTTAATAAATTACATTTTTTATGCCTGTTGATTAAGTTAATCTGCATATTTAGTAAATTTATCATTGTTGTTTTTGTGTGTCGAGTCCGTTCTGACTTACAGTGACCCTATATGAGATTTCCAAGCTGTAACTGGTGGGTTTGAACTACTGACCTTGTAGTTAGCAGTCCAGTGCTTATCCTACAGTGCCAGGCCAGGACTCTTAAAAGAGAAGTGTAAGAATTTTTCAAAATTTTACGCTAAAGAATATACTTAACAGTGAAAAATGATCCCGGTCTTATTTTTTCCAATGTTCTTACCCCAAAGGGTAGGTAATCAGCAAACTAGGGAGCATTCGACAGTAAATTGATGAACTTTTAATTCTTGGAGCTAGAACAGAAATAGAGGAAGGAATTTAAATGAAGAAATTATTGGTAATAATAGTTAATCTGTAGGGAAATACAGAAAAATACTAGAAATATTTTGTCAGTTATCATAATCAATATGATGCATAATATTAAGGCCTGGAAAAAATGTCACAGATTTTATTTTTATGGGTACATATTTACAGATTTGGAGTCCTGGTGTGGCACTGCACGGTAATGCACTGGACTGCAAGGTCCGTTTCAGCCACAAGGTCTGCGGTTCAAACTTACCAGCCACTCCTTGGAAACCCTATATGGGGTTACTATGAGTCAGAACTGATTCAGTGGCACTTAACAACAACAACATATGTAGAGTTAAAAAAAAAAAAAAATTCAACTTAGTGATTTTTCTTTTCGTTCATTTTTAGGTATTATTAATTTATGTAAGCCTGGAAATTCCGGGATACAGTCGCTAATTGGAATCCTTTGCATACCAAATATGGAGATACGGGTAGGCAAAAAATACTGTGATTGTGTATCCCTTAACGCTTAATTGAAGAAATTAATATTTCTTTAATAAATAGTATAATTAATGCTTTTTTTCTCATGAATTTTTAAGCTATGTCATAGGATTTTAAGGAAATATGTGAAAATATGTTTTACCCTTAGGTGAAACCTCCATGTAATGCATACTGTTTGAAATCTTTCTGCTGTTCAAAATGATGGCCATATTAAAAATTGAATTAGAAAATCTGAAATATGCTTTTCTCATTAAGCCTTAAAGTCAAATTTTACTATGCTAACAATATAGAAGGATGGTGTCTCATGGTAAGATTCAAGCAAAACACAAATACATGTAGCAAACAGTATTTATAGTATTTAAGGACCTCTGGTTGCTTAGTGGTTACGGATCTGGCTGTGAACCTTAAGGTCAGCAGTTCGAAACTACCAGCTGTCCCGTGGAAGAAAGATGAGGCTTTCTGCTCCTGTATAGATTTACAGCCTCGGGAACCCTGTACAGGGTCACTCTGAGTCGGAACCAACTCCGTGGCACATAACCACCATGTATCATATTTAAGCATCTTATGTTGTCTAATTTTTTTTATACATTATGGCTTTTTATATTTGAAATTGATTAAAATTGGATTGTTAAAATTTATATGTTTATTTTTATTTTTTTATATGTTTATATTTTAGGTATGATTCTATATTCAATAGTATATAGAAATTTGTATAAAATTGTTTTGAAAAATTGAATTTGGAGACAAAAACAAACTTTTCAAATGATTCTCCTCTTTTTTAGAGGTTTTTGCTTGCTTTAATTCTTTGTTTTACCCCTTTTATTGCTGCTGCTTTTTATGTAAGCCAAGTCTGACATTGGAAGGGAAATCTTTGCTTAAAATCTGAAATAAAAGCACGTAGGCCATGAAAATGGAAGGATGTAATTGTATAGGGGAAGAGTTCAGAGCAAGGAGCAAACGATTGGGCACTTCAGTTGACTTTTTCCTTTATAGCCTGGTGGGTTTGAAAGAACATGGTCTTTGGAGTTTATCTAACTGAGGTTTGACTCCTGGTTTTATTTATAACTTCATGACCTTGGGCAGATTACTTTTAACATTCAGATTTGTGTCTTGGTGTGTAAAGTAGGGGTTAAATGTGTTGAGAAGATTAAATACTGTATGAGTGCAAGTATGAAAGTATTGCTACTAGGTTTCCAGTCCATGCATGCATGCATGGGTTTATTCCAAGCAAATTGTCTTCAGAGCTGCCTCTGCTATCAGTGGATGGCTGCAGACGAGTTCTGACAGTAAGACTTACTGTTTTAGGGTGTCTTCATAAAAAAGATCCTTTTTGTGCAGTGGGGGGAAAAACTTATTTAACAAAAGTGAAGTGGACATCTTCCCAAATCATTGAAGCTTTGCAACAAGTTTTCAGCAGAGTCCTGGTATGGCGCTGTGGGTTAATGCGCCAGACTGCAAAGCCGTTTGGACTGCAAGGTTGGCGGTTCAAGCTCACCAGCGTCTCCTTGGAAACCCTATACAGGGTCGCTATGGGTCAGAACCAACTCGACAGCACATAACAACAACAAAAACCCCACATATTAAACAACAGGTTGTTTGTTTAGTGTTTTTTAATGAATCAAACTTTTTAAGGACGGTCAGCAAGACCTGAAAAATAGCCAAGAGAAGGAAGACCGTAGACCTCAATGAATAAAAAAACTGGCCAGAGTACGGAAGCTGGTAAAAGGTCACAGAATTATCGCTGATGTGGTACCTTTTGGAGTTGGGATCACACATGGTCCAGCATTTTCAATTTTAAGTGACCATTGTGAATTCAGCAGGCTTTTCAGCTCAATAGGCACCATTGAGCAAAGAGCTGATCTTTCCATCGGTCTTTTAAGTAAGATTTTGTGGCAGAAAATGATTTTCTGGAACGAGTTTTAACGGTGCATGAGTCTTGAATTTACCAATATCATCCAGAAAACAAAGCAATAAAAACAGTGGCTTCTGACGGAATCTGTTGGGCTAGTTAAATTTAAAGCAGAGAGGGTCAGATCAGAAGGTTTTTTGGAATCCCAAAGGGGTAATCTTGATATAGTTTTTAAAAGGGCACAAGATGATTATGGGACTTATGAAGAAGTTTTAAGAAAATAGAAATCTGCATTTGTGAGAAAAAGGTCAGGAAAGTTTCACTGAAGGATTTTTTTCCCCACCATGATAGCATACTTGCTCATTCTTCGAAGATAGCAAGGGCTGTCCAACAGGAATTTCATTGGGAAACCATACTTCATTCACCCTACAGGCCTGCTGTTGCCCCTTAAGATTGCTTTTTGTTCCCAAAACTCAAATAACATTTCAAAGGAACACAATTTGAGTGTCTTGAGGGTGCCAAAACTGCCATCTTGATGTGGTGTAAATCGTAGAATGCAGAATTATTCTGGTAAGAGTCAGAGAGATGGAAACATCACATTCAGATACATACATACCTAGAGGAAGGATATATTGAGAAATAATAGCTTCATATATTGATGTTTTTGTTTAGTAAGTGATCTGTAGCAATACTTTTTTTTTTTTTTTTACTTATCTTCGTCTGTAGTAAGCATTCAGTAGCTATCTCTTCTCTAATGTAGACCTGGTACAGTGGTTTTCCAAAATATTATACCTCTATTTTACCGTCTTCTTTATTCTGTGAATAGAATATTTTTTAAAAGTCTTTGAATAAAGAGTTACTGAATAAAAGTAAATGAAATATTTGTTTGCCTTATAGCGAGGTCTTCTTGAAGTGCTTTATGATATATTTCGTCTTCCCCTACCGGTTGTGACTGAAGAGTTCATAGAAGCACTACTCAGTGTAGGCAAGTATTGAAATTCATTTGTGTTTATATATATTGTAATTTTTTAAAAACTTTTTATTGTGAATTGAGTGAAAGTTTACAGACAAGACCATCAATTTTACAATCAAGAAATCTTTCATCTCAGTTTTCTAGGCAGCAACAGTGATCCCACTTCCTTCCTGTGCTTCCTATTTCCATTCCACCCACCTTCCCAGCCCTTCCCAGCTTTGTCCTTAGGTATATGTTGCCCTTTTGAACTTGAATGATTGCCCATTCCAGTCATTCCAAACATACTTACTGGTGTTGTTGTTCCCCTTGTATATCTATTCGGGCTGTGAACTGAAAAGTCAGCAGTTCGAAACTACCAGCTGTTCCGCAGGAGAAAGATGAGGCTTTCTGCTCCCGTAAAGATTTATAGCCTAGGAAACCCTGTACAGGGTCACTATGAGTCGGAACCGACTCCACGGCACATAACAACAACAACTATCTATCTATCTATCTATCTATCTATCTATCTATCTATCTATCTATCTATCTATCTATCTATCTGTCTATCTAGTTAGCTAGCTAGCTATGGCTTGGATGAAAAATAATAGTGTAATTTTAAAATTGCTTTATCGAATGGAAGCAGTCCCTAAGGGAAAAAAAAACCCAAATTACACTGAATATCAGTTTCTTTTTCCTAGTGTGCCCTGGTGTGGCACTGTGGGTTAATGTGCCAGACTGCACAGCTGTTTGAACTGCAAGGTTGGCGGTTTAAGCTCACAGCTGCTCCTCAGAAACCCTATACAGGGTCATTCATTATTGGTCAGAAATTACTCGATGGCACTGAACAACGACAACATCTGTATCATTGTGGTATAAAATTAATAGGGGGGAAAATAATAGTGTGTCCTAAGTTGCAAAATACAGTTAGATCAATGTACATTTGCATAAATATATTTTTGTGTCCATTTTTTACATGAACATTCTTTGTTTATAAACTGATTAGTCCATGGCTCTGCACTTCGCACTGATGTTTTAATTGTGTGGTGTGGAGCTGCAGATTAGTGCTCTGGACTGCAAAGTCAGTTTGAAACGCAAGGTTGGCAGTTCAAGCCCACCAGCTGCTCCTTGGAAATGCTATACAGGGTCGTTGTGAGTCGGAACTGAGTCAATGGCAGCTAACAGCAACAATAAAAATCTCCGAATTACAGAATTTTATTTATTTTAGACCCAGGTAGATTCCAAGACAGTTGGAGGCTCCCTGATGGCTTTGTAGCAGCAGAGGCAAAAACGATTCTTCCTCATCGTGCCAGATCCAGGTACAATTTATACATATAAATGTATCTAATTTATTATAATATCTATTTTTATATTTAATTACCTAGTATGTAAAATACTAGGTGAACTGTTACCGTTCTATGTTTGTTTATTTCCAGGCCAGACCTCATGGATAATTATTTGGCATTGATACTCTCTGCATTTATTCGTAATGGACTTTTAGAGGTACCATTTATAAACCTTACTGTATTGTATTCTCACTAATGAAGTACTTTCACAGTAGCAACCATATAGAACATAAATGTGTTCGTATGTATTATACTGCAACACAGATGTTTTCTTTTTATTTTCAAAGGGTTTGGTTGAAGTGATAACAAATAGCGATGACCATATCTCTGTGAGAGCTACCATCCTATTAGGGGAGCTTTTACATATGGTAAGCTTAACAGCTTGTGATTCTACATTGCAGATGTTTAATGCTTTCATTGGCAAAACAGGTTACTTTAACAGTAGATGCTTGTATTTGGTAAAAAAACGATTAGCATTTTACAGAAATGTTTGTATTAAAAAGATTGCTTATATATATGTGTTGGTTTTATAAATGGAAAAAAAGTAAAATAATGAATTTTAACTTTTATATTCACTTTCAGTCATAATAATAAATCTTAGTGTCTCTCAGAAAATCTTCCTACTTAGAAAGGAAGAAGTGGCAAATTTGCAGGTATTCCTGCAGCTAGGAGTCCTGGTGTGGCGGTGTGGGTTAATGCGGCAGACTGCAAAGCTATTTGAATTGCAAGGTTGTCAGTTCTAGCTCACCAGCTGCTCTTCGGAAAACCCTATACAGGGTCGCTATGGGTCGGAACCGACTCAACGGCACTTAACAACAACAACTACAACTGCAGCTAAGCTCTGGTAGCGTAGTGGTTACGAATCGGGCTGCGAACCTCAAGGTCAGTAGTTCAAAACTACCAGCTGTTCCACGGGAGAAAGATGAGGCTTTCTGCTCCTGTAAAGATTTATAGCCTCGGAAACCCTGTACAGGGTCACTATGAGTCAGAACCGACTCCATGGCACACAGCAACAACAACTGCAGCTAGATAGCACTAGTATAGATACATGGCAGTCAGCAGCCAAATGTTAGTAGGAAGATTTAGCGTAGTGGTTACGAATCGGGCTGTGAACCTTAAGGTCAGCGGTTCGAAACTACCAGCCGCTCCGCGGGAGAAAGATGAGGCTTTCTACTCCCGTAAGGATTTACACCCTCGGAAACCCTGTACAGGGTCGCTATGGGTCGGAACCAACTCGACGGCACTTAACAACAACAACAACAACAACTCATAGTTTGAGCTTTAGAGAGTAGGAATCCTTTCTTTATGCCATGATTTTATGGCATCAGTTACTTCTGGAAACCAGGAGCTAGGAAAGTGATCTAACTAATTCCCTATTTCCACAAACAGTAGCAGGATGGGGAATGGGGCTTTGCAAGTTAGTGCAATAAAACTCATATTTCTTGGTCACTTACCAAAACCACACCAAACCCACTGCTATTGAGTTTGTTCCGATTCCTGGTGACCCTGTGGGACAGAGTAGAACTGTTCCTCAGGGTTCCTGAGACTGTCAGTCTTTAGGAGAGCAGACAACCTCATCTTTCTCTCTTGGACTGACTGGTAGATTTGAACTGCTGAGTTGCATGATTTAACCCTGTGCTACCAGGGCTCCTGTAGGTCACCGACTGGCTAATGAAATACTGAATGAAAAGAATCACGTTCAACAAGTTTTAAGGAAGAAGTAATCCTGTTGCAAATCTTTCTAAATTGTCGGTTATGACTTGTTTTTTTTGGCAGAGTATTTTCTTTTTGCTGTTGTTGATTCACCCCACTCCCATTTCAGTTTCTCCTGTAGCAGTGGGTATGTGAGTGAGAATAAGACAGCTAAACAAAGTTTCATGATAATTGTCTTTTTGTTTCAATGAATTATTTAGCTGTTTGCTCATATATCGATATCTTAGTCCATCTGTGAAAGGATTAAGTAGACTCTTAGGTCTGATGATTGTTATTTTAATTATCAAGATCACATTTCTGTTAAAAATATTCATAGTCAAAATCATTGACTTCTATATGAATTAATCTGTTTTATAAATTTCATCCTTTTCCTTTGTTTTATACACCAGAATTATGTAATTCTCTTGAAATGTTCTGGATTCTGCATTAATGATTAATTTTCTTATTTTTATTGGTAGACAGGTGTTTCTTGCTGTGATTTTATTTGAAATTCAGGAGTTAATAAGTTTTTTGTTTCAAAGATTATTGGCATATGAGACAAACCTATTTTGAGAAGGTACTTTATATAGCTTAAGAAACCATTTTTTATGTACTTTTAGCATTGTAGTACTGGATCTGAGTTTTGATGGACAGTTCTTTTATAGTATTTAGAGTTGAAATTGGCTGGGTACCATTTAAAATTTTAATACTGAAATATAGGATCTATGGCAATTAGTGTATGATGTTGATATGTGATCTGTATACTTGTTAAATCTCATCCTTGTTGAAAGTAGATAAGCTAAAAATGGTTAATAAGTATATATTATGTGACAAAAATCATTTGATTAATTTTGAAATTAAATATTTATAGATAATTCTTAGCAAAATATTTACATTTCTGAAAGCTTATATGAAATTTTTCATTTTAGGCAAACACAATTCTTCCTCATTCACATAGTCATCATTTGCACTGTTTACCAACCCTAATGAATATGGCCGCATCCTTTGATATCCCCAAGGAAAAAAGGCTGTAAGTATCAAATATCTAGAAAAGTTTGCATTTGTTATTGTTTGTATTCACATGAATGCCCTTCTCTTTTGAAAAAAAGGAATTTATTTAGGTCAGGGTTAGAAATCCTTTTAGGAAAGCCTTATAGAGAGGAAAACTTAATAGCTATCAAAATACTTCATTTCCATTTTGGGCTATAAAGTATTAGAGTCTAACAAAATCACAGTTTTTAGCATGCAAGGATATAAACTTTCTGTCAGACCAATAAGAAGGCTTTTTAACTGCAATCCAGGATCTTTTTTTAACATATCTGTGGATTATTTCAAATTACCAAAACAAAAGACCAACAATGTATTCTCTTACATATGTGATTAAGAATACTTGCATTTAATAACCTATATTCTGGACATAGGGTATACAGAATTCTTAGTACTGAAGGAAATATTACAAACATAGATTTTATAAATAAAAGTATGTTAATATGAGGGAGAGTCAAAAGATTTGTGGAAAATTGGAATGAGAAGATAATGGAATTTTTATGTAAAGGTTTTTAAGCCCCTCCTAGACCTGTAGTTCTGCTGGTGTTCTCCTGCCAGTAATATCATATAAAAGGGACAGTTGGGGAGCTTGATCTGAAAGTGCTAGTAATAATCTCTTTTGATTTAGTAAAAACTATATGTAGGCTAGGAGTGTCATACTTTTCCTTTATGATCAGAAAAATCTATATATGTGGACACATCTTTTTTTCTTTATAATGCTAATGAAATATAGTTTGTTAGCTATTTGGAACTATGTTAACAATTGTAATACAGTCTCCAAAAGTTTAGTCGGCTTTATTAATATGAAAATGTACATATGGACCTCAATGTAAATAAATAATAAATGATAATGAATCCTGTTTGTTGTTGATGTTAGATGTGGAGAAGTCAGTTCCTACTTAACAGCAACCCTGCATAGGGTTTCCAAGGAGTGACTGCTGGGTTTTAACCTCTGACCTCATGGTTAACAGCCCAGTGCTTACCCTACAGCACCCCACCAGGACTCCAATATTCTGTTTAGTTATTTTTAATTTTAATTATCTCAATGAAAATATGATTTCACAAAGTGACAAACTACAATCATTGGACCGTATATGAACTGCCTCTTGGCTTCGTTAGTAATGGTAGGATTCAGCTTATATCTGAGTAGTTTTATGATGGAAAATGTACTTTTCCAAAGCCCAAACCTACTGCCATCAAACTGATTCCTCCTCACAGTGACCTTGAGGACAAAGGAGAACTCTCCTGGGGTTTCTGAGGCTGTAAATCTGTATGGAAGCAGACTACGTCATCTTTCTTCCAAGGAGAGGCTAGTGGGTTCTAACTGCCTACCTTTTGGTTAGCAGCCCAACATTCAAGCCACTGCACCATCAAGGGCCCTATAGACCTAAACTCTCTTTGGGTCTGGGTATGGCCATTAATTTTTAAGGTTTGACAAGAATTGAAATTTACCTCCAAAATTCCAGTAGTAACTATCCTTTTAAAATGCTCTTTATTAGCTTAGTAAATCCTCTTTTTGGTAAGAGTAAATGTTTGCCAATCTGAGCACATCTTAAAGTTTTAAAATTCTTAATCTGAATCATGTTTACCAAATGTTTTGAAGCTGAGACACAATTACTACTAAACTTTTCCAAGATGTACCACAACAAGGAAGTAAACCTACCTTTTAAAAAGATAATATTTAAAGTTGCAAATCAGTAGGGAAGGTAGAGATTGTTCATTATCATTTATTATCCTTTTTTAGGGAAAGTAGAATTAGCTCTTAACTGCTTCCCGTAAATAATTTCCCATATTAGCGTAGTGGTTACGAATTGGGCTGCGAACCGCAAGGTCAGCAGTTTGAAACTACCAGCTGCTCCGCAGGAGAAAGATGAGGCTTTCTGCTCCCGTTAAGATTTACAGCCTCGGAAACCCTGTACAGGGTCGCTATGAGTCGGAACCGACTCCACGGCACATAACAACAACAACAACAATGCTACACATAAACCAGCTTCAGTTAGTTAAGACCTTAAATGTGATAAGCAAATACTTAAAATTTCTATGAGAAACTATAAGAAAGGTTTCTGAAGGAGTCCTGCTACACACGTGGTTAATTGCTTTATGATTAACTGAACAAACTGTGGTTCACATTCACACAGAGGTGCGTCTTAAGTAAGGCCTAGTTGGTAACTTGCTTCATAAAGGTCACAGCTTTTGAAACCCAGTGGAGTAGTTGCATTCTCTACACATGGGATTGACATGAGTTGGAATTGACTTGAGGCAACTAAAAGCAGGTTTCTGACTTGTGGGAGAAATTCTTAAAAGCATTACACAGAATGTGCCCATTATAGAAGAAAAGATCGGAAATACATATTTAATTGAATCTAAGTAATTAGTGTTTTTCATACAAATCAGCAGTGTTCTTGTTTCTTTTTTTAGTGCTTTAAATTTTAGTAAATAACTTTCTTTTAGTCTTATATTTGTATAAGCTTTAATGGTGTAATTCACAACAGTGATATTTTAAAAATTAAACTAGTCTTGCTACAATATTAAATTATTTTTTTCTTAATAGACGAGCCAGTGCAGCCCTGAACTGTTTAAAACGTTTCCATGAAATGAAGAAACGAGGAGCTAAGCCTTATAGCCTTCATTTAGATCACATTATTCAGAAAGCAATTGCAACACACCAGAAGCGGGATCAATATCTTCGAGTCCAAAAAGATATATTTTTTCTTAAGGTACTAACATGAAATGGCAAGTTTAACTTAAACTCTGTTTCCTAATTTGTAATGAATACACTTAGTGTACATACAGTTGAATAAATTTGTTACTTTATTCATGCATGCAGATTTTGAAATGACTTCCAAGTATTTATTACAGTGATTCTAGGTAGCTTGGAGCTACATTTTGCTAGCTTCTTAAAGCTGGAAAAACCATGGCATTCTCTCCTTAAATGAAAAATCTTTTTCTTTCCTTTTTTTTTTTTTAGCTTCTTATTGTGAACTGAGTGACAGTTTACAGAGCAGATCATCAGTTTTCCATTGATTGCAATCTCCTGAGTGTAACATCTCTTATCCCACTTGCTCCCTGTGTTTCCTGTTTCCATTTCTCCCATCTTCCCTAGCCATTTTGATCTTTGTCCTTGGGTAAAAGCTGCCCTTTGATCTCAAATGGTTATTTATTCTAAGATGTGTGTACCTGCCTAGTATTACTGTTCCCCTTATAGACCTGTCTGTTGTTGAATTGAAAAGTGAACCCTGGGGGTGAGTTTATTTCCAGACCTGAAGAGTGACTAAGGGCTGTGGTCTCAGGCGTTCCTCCAGTCTCTCTCTGTGGTCTTTTTCATGATTTTGAGTTTGGATCCACATTTTTCTTCCACTCTATCTGTGACTTCCTAATGTGATCCCTTTCAGAATAGCTGGTAGCAGTAACCCCTAGTTCTGGTTTCAAGGTTGTGGAGGTTGATATATTTGAGGTCTCTTAGTCCACTTGCACTAATTGTTTTTGTGCATTTTCAGTTTTCATCACTCTTCTTTCCTACAAACATGGAGAAAACAATAGTTATACTTTCTTTTGTTTTTACAGTTTGAACTTAGTATGCTGATATAAGGACTTGTTTTCCTAATTTTTCTTATTACTTTCTGATAATTTTAGGATACAGAAGAAGCACTTGTAATGAACCTTAGAGATAGTCAAGTCCTCCAACATAAAGAGAATCTTGAATGGAATTGGAATCTCATAGGGACCATTCTTAAGGTCTGATACCTGTTCATGATGATGGCGTGATTTTCTTCATTTTGTTGTATTTATCTTCCTTAAATGCTTGAGAATTGATAAATCTGTATATGTTTTCACAGTGGCCAAATGTAAATCTAAGAAACTATAAAGATGAACAGTTGCACAGGTATGTAAGAACTATTTAGCATTTGAATTTGAAGAAATTAAGTAATAATTCTGTTATTCCTGTTGCTTGCTAAAAGTAATAATTGGTGTTTTAAAGTAAAGCTCAATATGTGTATAAATTAGTTTTTGGATATAATTTCATTTTGTAACCAAAATATACCAACTATTTCTTTTTCTAGTTATCTACATTCTGATTTTAGATTTGGAGCATAGGAAGTAGTTAAGATAAACTTTCTCAAACTGGGATAAGGTCATAAGGGTGACATAATAGGGTTGTAGTGTTTCCTTCACAAAATACACGGCCTTTTAAAATATTCTACTTCTGCTTCCACGTGTGTCTGGCTTGCTTTGGAAAGCTATCCATTTTTCCTCCTCCTTCTCATTCTCCCTTTTATCATTAATGTGCCAGACTGCAAAGCTGTTTGGACTGCAAGGTCGGTGGTTCAAGCTCACCAGCTGCTCCTTGCAAACCCTATATAGGGTCTCTATGGGTCGGAACTGACTTAACGACACTTCACAACAACAACTGTTATGAAGCATAAATACTAAATACTTCAAGCAACTATGCTGTTCAGTAGGGCACCCAGGGATTTTTCCACCTCTTATTTTTGCCTAACCAATCACCAGTATTGATTGTTGTTGTTGTCAGGTGCCATTGAGTCGGAACCGACTTAGAGCGACCCCATGCACAGCAGATCGAAACAATGTCCAATCTTGGGCCAACCTCACTACCGCTACCACACTTGACAACCATCAATGATGCCACCTGGCTGATCCATCTTGTTAGGGGTCTTCCTCTTTTTCTCTGACCCTCCATCTTACCCAGCATGACATCCTTCTCCATCGACTGTTCCCTCCTGACAGTATTGATAGAGGGCCTTAATTTTGAGAAGCATTAATTTGACTTTATTAGTATGTTCATGATATTGAACTTAAAAGCCGTATTATTTTGAGAAATATACAACACAAAAACTACATTGAAATTAAGAAATGTAGCATTAACTTTTTATGGTAACATTTTCTTAAAATGATGAACTATAAAATTGTTTTATAGAACCATCGGGCAAGGTTGTTCATAGAATACAGTAAATAAAAGAATATTTATGTCCAGCCACGTTTCTCATGTTTATCTGCCTTACCTTCTTCTTATGTTTACTCTGCATTTTCCTAGCAGCATCTTTCTTCTCCACTGTTTCTCATTTAGGCATCTTTTTTTAAAAAGCTTTTATTGTGAATTGAGTGGTACTTTACATGGGAAAACATCAGTTTTGTACTCATCCTGTCTTACTTCGTTTCATTGCAATGATTACATTCCTCTCCTTGCATCATTATTTAACAGTATTTGAATCTTTTCCGTTTTTGTTTTGTTTTTATTTAGGCCTCTTATGATTAAATTCTTATTCCACAAAAGTAATCTTTATAATGAAGTTATTTTTCCCCTCAATTGTACCAAATGAATTTATTGTGTTTCTTTTCACCCCAGTGTTTCAGACCCCCAACCTACTCAAAACCTTATAATATCAAAAGCTGTGTTTATGATTATAAAGCAGTAGTTTGTTTTCTCACTTTGTTGCTAATTCTATTTTGATCTTAGGTTTGTACGAAGATTACTTTATTTTTACAAGCCTAGCAGTAAATTATATGCCAACCTAGATCTGGATTTTGCCAAGTCCAAGCAGCTCACAGTTGTGGGTTGCCAGTTTACAGAATTTCTTCTTGAGTCCGAAGAGGTAAGTACTCTGAATATTTTCCAGAACAAATGCTTTTTGTTGAATATCATCCCCACACCCATTCTCCACCTGTGTTTAACTTATATTTCTGAATATGCATAAACTGTATTTAGAAACATACAGATTGAGCTCCCATCTAGGTTTGAATTCTGGCTCAGGCACTGGACAATTAGAGGATTCAGACAGGTTATTTTACTTCTAGTAGACCTGTTTACCCTTCTGCAAAATAGAAAATAGTATTTCCATGGAACCTTATGTTGAATGGATTACATATAATAGGTACTCAGTGACTATGAACAGTTAATATCATTCAATTTTTTGTTTATTTGATGGAAGTTTTTTCTGCTTAAATTCATTAAATGATCTTTCAGCATTACCACATTGTATTTCTTTTAGGATGGGCAAGGCTACTTAGAAGATCTAGTAAAGGATATTGTTCAGTGGCTCAATGCTTCATCTGGAATGAAACCTGAAAGAAGTCTTCAAAATAATGGTTTATTGACTACTCTTAGTCAACACTACTTTTTATTAATTGGAACACTTTCTTGCCATCCTCATGGAGTCAAAATGCTGGAAAAATGCAATGTGTTTCAATGGTGAGCACCTTTACATTCTGTTCCCAGTATAACTTAAGGTTTTTAATGTGAATTGAGTGAAAGTTTACAGGGCATATCATCAGTTTT